ACCAGGCAGGCTTTAACGTGGAACCCACAAGGAAAACGAAAGAAGGGAAGACCAAAGATGACATGGAGACGAGCGGTACAAGCTGAAATTGAAAAAGCGGGGACATCATGGAAACAGATAGAAAAGGATGCTCAGGACAGGCTTCGTTGGAGTAATGTTGTTGATGGCCTGTGCTCCACTGGGAGTTAAAAAGGGCAAGAGAGAGAAAGATGCAAGGAAAGATAGACGAAGAGAAACTTTTAGTAAAACAATGACACACAAACCCATAGGACGAGACAAACAAATGAGGAAACTTTGGAACATGAGGAGAAATACTTTTTAAAAAACAAAACACATTTTCCTATACAAAATGGACTTCCATACTCGGATCCTCAAAAATGCATTAACCCTACCCGTACGCATGGGGTCATTTTAAATCCTCGAGGTTGTATTCTTCACATTTTAGAATACTTCTAGTGTGAAGATCTTTGAAACTCAGTATTTCTCAAAAAATCATTTTGACAGACTGTTAGATCAAAGCAAAGCGTACGGATGGGATTAACGAGTAAATTTCCTCTTTGAAAAGTGGAGGCACAGAGTTCCCCATGTTGTATAGATACGATAGTAAAACACGACGTACGGATAGGGTTAAGTGGTGGCACAGAGTTCCCCATGTCGTATGGATACGATAGTAAAACACGACGTACGGATAGGGTTAAGTGGTGGCACAGAGTTCCCCGGGCCGTATGGATACGATAGTAAAACACGACTCACAGACAGGTTACATAGGTTTATTGTACTGGTAGGCAGCTGTGGATTCGGACAGAAACATAACAATAACAACAATCGCTCTCACCTTTCTTTCCCGTTAGACTCGAGTCAGCAAATATGTCATCGTCCTTATCAACGGCCGATTTGGAATTCCCCTTCGCCTTTTCGGCCGGCGCCTTCACGGATGACGATCCAAACAAATCGTCGTCGTCACTAAACACATTAGAGTTAGCCCCCTTTTTGCTTGCTGCGGAGGAGGAGGAGGGCACGGGGGGAGGAGCGAACAAATCATCCTCGTCCAGAACTTTGGACACGTCGTTCGCCTTCCCCTTTCCAGAGCTCGTAGAAAATATATCGTGGTCATTGTCAGCAGCGGTTTTGCTCTTCGCTGTAGGCACTTTTGTCGCACTCGCGTCGGTTTTTCCCGCACCACTTTTGGACTTGCTGGCAGGCGGGGCGGGAGACGAACCAAACAAGTCGTCGTTGTCGTTGTTGTTTAAGGCTCCGTTGTTACTAGCACTGGAGTCGGAGGAGAAAAGATCGGCGGCCCCCGCTGAAGGTTGGGATTTTTTACCGCCGAATAAGTCTTTCCCGAATAAATCGTCGTCGGGTTTAGAGGTCGCCTTCTCACCACCGCCCTTCAGGGAAGTTTTGCTCGTCAATGAAGGCCCGTCTAACAAATCATCATTTCCGAACAAATCCCCAGATTTGGTCTTTTTCTCCGAGGAGTCTTCCCCGCCGACCTTTGAAGCAGCCTTGACCTCTGACGACGCCGGTACTGACCCAGACGCGCGGGAATCGGCGTCATCGCTAGTTGCGGGAGTGTTGTGGGGGGTGGCGGCCGGGTCAGGGAGGTCGGGGAGTTCGGGGATGGTGGGCGTGGTTGGGCTAGTCGGCTCGTCGAAGCTGATGCCCGAGTTTGTGGCGGCCAGGCGGCGCGCCTTGCGGCTCTGTGGACGTCTGCGGCTGATCACTTTCACTCGGTCCTGGGAGGGAGGGAGGGGAGGGAGGGAATGAAAAAAGAGAGAAAAAAAGAGTTTTACGGCACTTGCTATACAATAAGGTCATATAAGTGCCGAAGACTAGAGGAGTTACAAGGGAGTAACAAACACAATAAAGAAGGAGGAGAGATCGGGATGATAGAATGATAGATATTTGGTAGGAAAGAAGAAGCAAACCACACTAGAGCATCCGTCAACCACCCATTGGAAAGAAAAAAGGAAAAGATAAAAAAAGAAAATGAGAGAAAAAGTGATGAAAAGGTGAAAAACAAATATTACAGCAGGCCACAGCACACATATAGTGAGATCGGTGAGACTTGGAGATCTTTTCATTACGTACAAATTTTGTATGACGAGTTTTAAATACAAAGAAAACTATAAATTTGAGACCTAAAAATCTGTTCTCTACGTGCATGTTTCAGTCAGAGTTTTACGGCACTCGTAACACAATAAGGTCAAACAAGTGCTGAAGAGAGTAACAAATCCCGCCAGGCATCCGATCCGACGTGCCCTTGGGAAAAGCACTTAACTTTACACAAATGTTCCTCCCTTCACCCAGGTGGGAATGGGTACCCGGCCATAGACAGCAAAAGATTTTGTCCGTTTTTTTATATATAGTGTCAGTGCGTGAAATCGACAGCTTGCACCGTTTGCTTCCCAGGAAGCTAAAAATGTTTCTGAGTGTTCATATGAGCGCCAGAAGATTAGAGGTGTTACAAGAGAGTAACAAACATAAAAAAGAAGGAGGGGGAGACAAGGATGATAGATGTTTGATAGGAAAGAAGGAGCAAACCACACCACAGCACCCGCCAACCACCCACTTTCGAGCCTCAGCTCGGTCCGACGTTGTGTCCTTGGGAAAGACACTTTACACGAACTTCCCACTTGGCTCGGTCCTATCGGAGACGGGCGTTAAACTAGGAGGTCCCTCCTCTTAAATAACCTAATAGTGTTGATAGGGGCGTTAGCCCCATACCATTTCATATCCCCCTCACCACGCTCCCCCCCCCCTCACCTTGCTGGCACTCTGCAGCGTCTCGGTCTCGGCCGGTTGGTCAAAGTCCACCGACTCGGATCTCTCCAGAGACTTGCTCAGCGACGGGTGGGTTGCCCCCGGCAACAAGGCCGCCGGGTTGAAGGTGGGCGATTTCTGAGTGAACAGGAGACAGGGGAGGGTGTAAACACTACCTTAACCCACAAATGTTAGTTTAGTTTAGTAGAAGGTTTTACGGCGCTCGCAACTGCATAAGGTCATATGAGTGCCAGAAGATTAGAGGTGTTACAAGAGAGTAACAAACATAAAATAGAAGGAGGGGAGATAAGGACGATAGATGTTTGATAAGAAAGAAGAAGCAAACCACACCAGAGCACCCGCCAACCACCCACTTATCCCAAAATGTAAACACTACCTTAGACCATAATGTAAACACTACCCTAACTCCTAACCCAAAATGTAAACACTACGTTATCCTAAAATGTAAACACATAAGACCAAAATGTAAACACATAAGACCAAAATGTAAACACTACCCTAAGCTAAAAATGGAAAAATGCAAAATGTAAACACAGCCTTAGACCAAAATGTAAACACCACTTGTCTATACACAAAATCCCTCTCTGAAGCATTCTCTTCGGAAGAAAACAAAACAAAATAGATGGAGATGGAGAACATAGAGATGGGGGCTGGGGGGGGACAGCTGACACCTCAGAGAAAGTGGCACTGACAGACTCTTGTTGAACGGCAAAAGTTTTAGTCTACATTAGGCAGGCTAGCACGATGCCATGCACACAGTCCACTCAATCCAAGCCCACTGTACTTTTAGTCAGAGTTTTACGGCACTTGCAAAACAATTAGGTCATAAAATTGCAGAAGATTAGGGTTATTACAAGAGAGTAACAATAAAAACACAAAAAAAGAATGTGGGGAGATAAGGACGATAGATGTTTGATAGGAAAGAAGAAGGAGAGATAAAGACGATAGATGTTTGATAGGAAAGAAGAAGGAGAGATAAAGACGATAGATGTTTGATAGGAAAGAAGAAGCAAACCCCACCAGAGAACCCGCAATCTAGTTCCATGTGAAGACTTTTTATGTTTACATTTCAGTAAAACTGGAAGCTTAGGTCATAAGATTACAAAATCACACACACTCACACACAAAGGTATATATATTAAAAAATTGCCTAATAACAAATGCCTCCAAATCAACCCGCAACATGCTAAAAATCAATCAAGAAAGGCAAGCAAAAAATGGGGCACAACACGTCTAAGAAAATGGGACAAAGTTCACCATAGTGTGGTTCCCTCTTAGTCTTATTCAGAGATCAGTGCTACAAGGTCCCAATGAACCCACCAATATATTTACAGAGTAAACAAATATACCACCGCTGCCAAAGTTACTCCCTAACTTACGATAATAGCAATAATAATAAAAATAAAAAATAAAATAATAGTAATAATAATAAAAATAAAAAATAAAATAATAGTAATAATAATAATATTAACAATAATGGTAATAATATTAATGATAATAATAAACGATAACATTTCTATTTCTGGCTCTTTTCACAATTTGAACAATTACAGTTCTCTTTAAACAAGAAAAAAAAAAAGTTTTGCCCCACAGAAAGATTTGACTGTCAGTGTTAATAATTAGCATCTCTCATTAGAATGTTCATATTGAAATCCACACTACTTTCCTTTCCTCCGCTGCTCTGAACGTAACTGTCAAAACAAAACTGTGCGCAAACAAACTTTTCTGAATGTTCTAGAATCAGTCATGGTATTTATACATGTAAATGTCGAGTGAACAGCCCTTGCTGTAGACCATGGACATGCACTACATGAAAGCAATTATCATTAATTATCATATTTATTATTATTATTATTAATTTTTTATATTATCATCATTAATAATCATATTTTTGTTATCATCATCATCATTATTATCATTATTATTTTCATTAATTATCATATTTATTTTTATTATTATTATTATTATTATTATTATTAAGCGAGTACCGATTTGCTGGTTGCAGGAAGGAGTTGTTTCTGGTGGGTTTTTTGGTGGGTTTTTATGTTGTTTAGTTTAGTTTTAGTAGAGGTTTTACGGCGCTCGCAACTGCATAAGGTCATATGAGCGCCAGAAGATTAGAGCTGTTACAAGAGAGTAACAAACACAAAAAAGAAGGAGGGGAGATAAGGACGATAGATGTTTGATAGGAAAGAAAAAGCAAACCACACCAGAGCACCCGCCAACCAACAACGTTTGTTGTTGTGAAAATGATGATATCCAAATATCCAAATAAGGAAGAAAAGTTCACATCTCAGCAAGCGGGAACATTTCTAAAGGTTTCAGGGGATAAAAACACAGCAAAAAGGTCCAAACGTTGAGTCCATAATGTCAGCAAGCTGTTCAATTATTGTTCTGTATAGTTTTTGTCAGAGTTTTACGGCACTTGCAACACAATAAGGTCATATATAAGTGCCGAAGAATAGATGCGTTACAAGAGAGTAACAAACACACAAAAAAAGGAGAGATAAGGATGAATGATAGATGTATGTTTGATAGGAGAGAAGGAGCAAACCATACTAGAGCACCCACCAACCACCCAGGAAAAACTCCCACGTAGGGCGTTCAAGAATTGGTGGTTATAGTGGTCTGCCTCAATACTTACATCCTCCAGGCCGCCACGAGACTTAGGCTTAGGCTTAGGCTTGACGACCACCACGTGGGAGGAAGTGGCTTTTGGTTTGGGGGCAACGGCAGAGACGGGAGAGGACAACACATCCAGGGGGTCAACGAAGCTGGGCTGGAAGCATGGAGGTCAGGGGTTAGGGGTCAGGGGGGCAGGATGTCATGGGGCAGAGGTCAGGGGGTCGGCAGACAAAGGGATAACATGTACGTAAATGTGTATGTCGCTTTTAAGCACAAGGGGGTCATCCCGAAAAATGCTGTTTAGAGAAAATCGAAGGTAAAGTTTTTGGACCCTTGTTCAGTTTCTTTAAAAGACAAGGAGAGTTTTCTCTATAACCAAACAAATATACACACTAATGAAACCAAACTCTTCCTATAGGTAGGGCAATGCCCACTTTTGGTGCAGGTCAAGATTTCTGGAAACCCCCGAAATCTGGGTTAGCCCACTTGTCCTTAAAAGCGATATATATATATATATATATATAGTGATAGATAGATAGATAGGCACTTTACACAAGTCCCCATTTGTCTCGATCCTTTCGCGGATGGACGTTGCACTCGGAAGCCAGGCTTCTTACACAGCCTAACAGTGTTGTAAAGGAAAATTGTTCCCGCATCCGATCCGGACATACGGGATTGTCTTGGTAATGAGACAACTTCCTGAGCCTTCGGAATTTATTGTGGTTGGGTGGACAGTTCCTTTCCCCGCCGCCTTTACTTTCGAATTCGAAATCCGTGTCCGAACCGAGGCTCGAATCCGGACCGGACTTCCCGCTTCTGAGACGAGCGGAAATAGTGTTGAGAGGAGCGATACCCATAGACGCAAGCTCAATGCTTCATTATCGGATCTCAATTTTAATAGTGTGGAAGAAGGTCATTACGAAGAGAAGTTTTGATAAGTCAGATTTTCACAGTTAAAAAAGGACATACGACAGGAAGAGATGAGGTCGTGTGATATGGACTATCACCATTGAGAGGAAAGTGGTGAAATCAAGATCAGACAAT